CCTGTACATGCTTTAGCTTCGCAGAGGTCACCAACGCAGCCTCTTTAATGCAGTGCATGTTTCAGCGTGAACTGTGCAGCAGCAGAGGGATAACCGCCCCCTCCCCCAGCCTCAACAATGGCAGCAGTGGGAGCCATTCAGCCTGTACGTAACTGCACAACACACACACGAAGCTAGCGTTTGGGCTAAAAAAAAAACAAAACACAATGCAGCATGTTGTTAGCAAAAGGTCGAGTATCTTACCTGTACTGGGCGGCAGCGCCATGGGTAAATCCAAAGTAGTTGCCGGTAGCCATTTTAGCATCTTCACCAAGCCGGCTGGGCACTGCGGAGGACAGACATACAGGATCACGCTAAGCTAACCGTTAGCAGCGGGCTCCAACGAGCGGTCCAAGGACTATCCATTAACGTCTCCTTCTTAGCGTTGCTTTAACGCTTATTAAGGTGCTTCATTGTTTCTAGCTGACAGTAAAATCATTTCTACGTGTTTAACGATACTTACCATAGGTGAAGGAGACCACTGGACATATGGGAATCATTGGTTTCGTATATTCTACAGACAGCCGTATCGGAGACCAGCCTATTTATATTACGTGTCGCACCCGGAAAAGCCGTGTTGGCGCCTGCGCAGAGCAAAGGGCGATGGGGACGTTTGTTTTGTGTTCCCCAACTTTATTTAAGCCACAATAATAACATTACAAAACAAACGACAGGGAGTATATGGAAACAGGAGCACACGAATAGAAAAAACAATACAAACGTGAAAAATACATAGCACTAATAAGGAAAATGGATAAATAAAATAGAAATAGAAACAACTCCATTAGGTGGCCCTACTACAGATTTATTTACCAAGATAACAAACCTGTCTGATGATGTATTTTTAATAGAGGATCAATATTTTTATGAACTAGTTTATTTGAAAATTGCCAGGGTATAATAGCCCCTCTGGTCATTTGAAATGACCGAACCTGAAATAGATTTTTAAGGCCGTAAATAGTTAATGACAAGGCTTCAGATTTCAACTAGTCCACCCTTTTCCATTTCTTCCAATAGGTCTTCCTACAATACTGGACCTTTAATGTCATCAAGTAAACCCTGATTTTAATTGGCTAAATTAATATGGACCTAAGGGACATATAATTGGTCTCAACAACAAACATTCAGTAATCATAATTTGGTTAGGTTTGATTGCTTTTCTTAAGTATTTTCATTTGTATGGAGATTCCCATAAT